AGAAGAAATAAAACCTGCAGGTATGGCAGAGAGAACAAAGAATAGGAAAAAAAAATCATTTGTTGCAATATTTATTTTGCCATCCAGGATATAAATACTACATGAGTTAGGGAGAGCTCTACACGCCTCTTAGCCATGGGATCCAGCAAGCAACGCTGTCTGTTGGTTTTGGGGGTTTTGCAGTTCCCAGAGCTGTTACATCATTTAATACCACGTTGTTAGTTGTCACACCTGGTTACTGGTTTACATCAGCTGCGTCGTGTGATGTCTCATGGAAATTGGCAACAACTGGGGAAATGTTAAATAAGTGCAGGCAAAGCCTTTTGGCCATTTTCAGTCCCTAGGACTGGAGGTTCCTGAGCAGGGGAGTCTCTGGGGGCTTGCCTGGGGCAGGCACTGCCAGCACGGGCTGGGATCTTCCGTGGTGGCTGGGGACTGGTGCGTGGTGCCTGGTGGCCAGCAGTGGCCAGAGCTCGGGCCCAGGGCAGGAGGTGTCCTGCTGTACTGCCTGCATCGGCAGGAATCCTGCTAGTACAGCAGAAAGCTTCAAGAAAACTGTTAAAAATCTGAAATGCACACGGTGTGGTTCATGGAAGGCTGGTTTTCTACAGGTATTTATGCGCAGAAATCTTGCAGAAAAGGATTGTGCACTTACAAATAGAAAATTCTCACACTTACAGATTTTTGTTCTGATCCTTGTTTGCTTTCAGAAATAGGCAACTTGGCAAGTGCAATGTTGTGCCTCTTTCTTCTTCTCATCCCACATTTTCAGCATTGATTTTTTTTTTCACTGGGCTGGCTTCTCTTCTGTTGTTACTGCAGGTTTGTTCCTGCTCTGTAGCAGTCCGGTTCAGGCAACGTGTTTCCCCCCCCCGTGGTGCAGGGGCTGCAGAAATGCGCTGACATCTCCCCCTACGCGGTAGGTGTCTGTCCTGCTCTCCATGTCCTCACGCAGCCAAACTGCCCTATGCCCTTGCTGCAAAAGGCGGATGCTCTGAAGCTGATGATAATTCATTAAAAGCCAGCATTAACCTTAGCAATTTACTTTGTTCTGCTTTCTGAGGGCAATTAAATTTTAAACTCATTTTCTGATTGTTGACCCTCATATTTGACTGTTAGGAGGAGCATTGCTACAAACACAGCTGTACCAAGAACACTGTGAAGCTGGTCTACAATTTAATTTATATTAGAAGATCACCTATTAGGCAGGCTAATCATTTTTTATTCGTGCCTAAATAAAAACGTGCATATTTCTACTATGAAATTAATGAATTGATAGCTTCTAACCTAACCTGAAATCTAGGTGTTTTGAAACTGTTTTTGTATTTGTCCAGTGTTATTCTATAACAGGTGAACATATTCAAGTATGGAACATAATCTAAAGAAACCAGATTTCTCTGCTGCCCATAACTGAAATGATGCTGGAGCGTGCCAGCCATCCTGTCAAGCCCTAGGTGTAAGTTATTTTTGATGGTAAGCTACGTTCAGACCCTTATTTGTGTCATGGCACATGACCTGCTTCAAGGCAGGCTGCAGGAGCTGCTGTAAGGGTGCCAATCCACATGGACCAAAGGGATGCAGGTGCTCCAAGGGGCTTTCAGGTGTCTGAGCTGCTGGCAGGCAGGGGCTGCCCCATGGCATCAGCTCCCCTGGCATGGGGGGCACAGGACTGTGAGCTCCTCCTGCGCTGCACAGAGGTGCTTGTAGCTCCGCAGCTTGCCTCTCGTAGCTCCTCCTGGCTTTTATGAACAGACAGACCTTCCTTTGACTTTGTGGTTCTTCGTAGGTGAAAATAATTTCTCACAGAACATAATGTGTCGGGAAGTTATTTCAAGACCAGCTTTAGCTACATGGCAAATTGATTTGGGTGCAGCCCTCCCACAGCAGCCCTTATTGCAAAACACAGCTTTTTTGCTCATATTGCTGAAAGTTCACCAAAAATGATGGTTGCAGTTAAAGTGTTCATGTCTTGCTGCTGAGGAATCCTTGCTACATAAGCATCTGCAGTTAAATGCTCATTGGGAGCAAGTGAGACCATCCCATGCCTCCTGAGCAGGTGCAAGCACTCAGTCACACCACTGCAAGCATCGCCGGGCTCCTCTGGATAGGGAGGAGGGACACCTTCACCCACCTTCTTCAGGTACCACTGACTGGAAATCATCTTGGACAACAGTTTCCCGAAAAGGAAAGGCTTTCCCCATTTCTGCCTTGAATCTATGAACTGCTGAGATCAGAACTTTGTTTGTGTCTTACAAAAAGACAAAGTCAGTGTCGGCCTTACAGTCTTATGGGTCAGGTAGAGGGGTCTGCAGGGTAACTGCACCACTACAAAGCTATCTGTGGGGGTAACAATTTGCAAAGGAAAGCTATTTTTCCCAAGTTTAAGATAATTCATGGATAGACTGAGCTGATGAGAGACAAGGAGTTTTTGGAAGAACATGGTCTGCTCTGGGCAGGGTTTGGGGTGCAGTGGGTCAGGCTCTGGGCTCATCTCCTCCCACCACACCTTGCTCCCCTCTCCCAGGGGAGGATTAGGATTTCTTGTGAGGATCTGTGCTTGGAAAGCTCTGGATTCTCTGATCTGACAGACTGTAAGAAAGACCATGGGTCTGTGGATTAAGGTGCTTTGCATAGCTCTTAACAGCACCGCGACTGAAGATAAGATCTCCATTCCCTGCAAAGCTTTCTGCCACTTTTCATCTGGAGTTAATACTTTGTCAACATGAAGTTTTATGTAAAGAGTGGGTGCTACTGACAACACTTTTGCATTGTTTTTCATTAGCTATGTATGCAAATTCAAGCTGTTTCTAGGTCAGGGGGAGCCTTAGGCTTCCCATCGCGTGTCTGCACGGTGCTGTTCGGAGAGTTGTGCGCACGCACCTCGGGGTCTGCGTGTTTCTGCTATTTACTCTTCTCTTCAAGGCAGTGGCAGAAAACCCCTCCAACAACTTCCCTAGCATTAAAATGAAATGCTATCTCTAACATAATTATTCTTTTTTTTTTTTTTTTTTAAATCCAAAAACAAACTAGATACATCTCCCTTGAAGCTTCAAATCAATAACCTAAAGTAATTGCTTCTCATAAGCTGGTCTCTGGATTGATGCTGATATTTCAAAGAGTGACTTCTCTTGCTAAATGAAATAATGCTAATGTTAGGGCAGAAACAATTACAAGCAAGGTGTAACTTTCTGTGGCTTCCTTTTTAAGGTAGAAGGTTAGGAAGCCAGACTTTTTTTTTGGGTGATACAAATGATTTGTTTAACAATAGAAAAGTTTCATTTCTCTTTTCTACTCGAATTTAACTCTTCACTGAAGATGCACAGTACTGTTTGTCTTGCCTGTGAGATGAAAGATCTTAATGCTTACAAATTGCTTTGGAAATTTGTCAGCTTTGATCGTGCAACCTTGTCATTAGTGGTTGCTTCTCAGGTGTGTACCGGGAGAGCTGCTCATCGGGGGTGGTGGGAGGTTCTCCGTCCTTGCTTGCTCATCCCCCTGTCCGTCCCCATCCCACAGCTCAGAGCTGGGCTTACACCTTCCCTGTTCCCCCCTTTGCCTACACCACGAGGGGAGCACCCCTGGTGTGCCTGGTGCTGGTGGTGCAGGCTCTTGGGCAAGCCTTGCTCCTGGAAGCAGGGTGCAGCACAGCTTGGTCCTAGTGCTGAGCAGATCCGAAAATACTTATCCACGATGCACCCTTTCTTGAATCATGTGCTATGTTTTGATAACTTTATTGAATTCCACTTTAATGAAAGTTTAATCAAAGTATTTTTCAGTTAAAGGGAGGCACGTAATTAATACAGAAAATATTTTTTGTATTCTGTGCACGCTTTTCCTGATTCTCAGGGTTCCTTCTTTTGGGGATGCGTTTCTAATGAACCTTGTTTTAGTTAATTATTTATGTCGGGTACCTTGTGTTTTTTTTTAGGTTAGAAAATTAACACATTCTGATGTCAAAATTCATTATATTGAAGTAATATCAACAAGGCCATATCCAGAATTTGACCTTGCTGATTAACTGAAGCCTCAGAAATATTTTTCTTCTTTGCATTAGGGAGTTTGTTCACTTTTCCAACATCTAGGACCTATACATGTAATGAATTTCATTATACGGATCTACAATTAGCTGCCAAGTATAGGTAAATGGGGAGAATTATTTTAATCTTTAACTACTGAAGTGTTAATGAAGGAGAACCCCCTGCTTTCTGTGAGTGGAGGTGTTCATAAATGCCAGGACGTATACTTTCTAAAGCAGCAGTTAGGTAACTTTTCTCATGTGTCCCTACAATACAAAACAGATGAACATGACAGATGAACAGTCTGTATATCTGGAACAAATGCTTCCATACGTGAAGCCTGTGCTTATATATTACACAGCATGTCTAGACTCTTTTTGCTAGGTTGTCTCCTCCTGTGTATTTCCGTATGCTAAACAAAATGTGACTGGTCCCTAAAGTCCAAGAGGCATGTCTCGAACCTCTTCTCCTTTTTCTGAGATGTGGGCTTGCTGCTGGTGATAAAGGATCACTCCAATCTGCTGGAGGTTGGCCTTGTCTGGTAAGGAGCAGATGTCTATGGTAACAGGATGGATGTAGTCATGGGACTTTTTTCCAACATGGAATATTTACCTTGCTAAAATGATTTTAGGACTGTTACTCTATAGGTGGCATAAGGAAATGCAGGTCTAAGGAGAATAAAACCTCACTTTTTTTTTTTTAAACCACATTTGAAAATTCCTAGCTATTTGGTTGCAGTCTCAATGGGATAAACTTTCATGTTCCAAGCTCAGGTTTTTGAATAGGCAATATAAGATGAGGCAAAGGAACAAATATCAGGAAATTTCAGAGCAGATACTCTTCTTTTTTTTTGGTCTTAATTTATTTTCCTTATTGATGGATTAAGAATTAATTTGTAAATAGATGTGTCTTCTGCCAGATGAAAAAAGCATTATAAAACAAAATTCCCCATTCACACAGGCTTTGTGCTGCAGAGCTATTCATGCTCACATAATTAATATTATGCCACATTTTATTTTCTTTAAAGCTCTGCTTAACTGAGGAATCAGACTTAATTTTTCAGGGTAGCTGGTGAAGTGCAGTGCGATGTGTTAGTGGTCTGACTGCTTTGCTAATTTAATTATCAGGTACATTCCCCTGGACAGCTAATTGACCAGCTCAGTGTTTTACATGCAGGCACCTTTGGCAAAAATATCTCTGTGCCACTACCTGACATCCTCTTCACTATGTCCTGTGTGCTCTGGGTCTCTGGTCCACCCTGGGAGCCCAAATGCATTGGGTCCACTGGGAGCCCAGTGAACATGCAGGGATGGGGAACATCTGCAAATACAAGTGGTGCCCCACTGACATGGCATGCTCCCGCCCCGAGAGGCTGCACGTCTCCCAAGATCAGGAGATGGTGTTATTCTAAGAGATGTAAGGGACAGACTGTTGGTGTTATCTGTAAAACATCACCCCACCTTTCATCAAGGACTGTTACTGCAGTGCGTAGCAGTTGCAATGAGGAGATTCAGGCAAAATAAGTGGGTCTTTGATTTGGATAGCTCTGTGAACCATGAGAACTGCTTCATTGGGCTACACGTCTGTAATCTTCATCAGCTGACACTACGAACCTTACTGGCTTTTTAAAACCTTTTTTAGTCAGCAAAAGTTAAGCTTGCCACACTTCAGCGTTATATCATCACCGGTTCCACAGTGTTATCGTTAATCTTGAAAAAAATAGTTTGACCTCTTCAATCTATCCAAGGAAGCTGCTTTAGCATGGGTAGCCTTTACAGGACATTAAGGTATATCATGCTCAACATAGCACCACTTTGATGCTTGCATTACATAGGTAATTGCATTTATTGGTTCCTTAACAGGGACAATACACCCTGCCTTCCACTAAATATCACATATTAGT